CCCGCCCCGCCCCGCCCCGCCCAGAGATATTTGACCAAATATGTCAAATAGGTCATGATATTTGTTTGTCGTGTCTGATAAAAAGCCTGGTAAGAAAGAAAAAAACAGATGGATAGTTCCAAAGCAGACAGAGTTTCTTGTCAGTCTGAAAAGCTGAACTGCGATTTTCTCTTTATGATAATGTAAGCTACACCTCGCTATCTCAGACTTTCCTCCTCCTTCATATTGTGCAAAGAGGAATTGTCCTATATGCATTGGTAAACATATTCAGTAATTACTGTAGAAAGAATTTTGGATATGACTTTTGCATGTCTGAAAGACATTTGTCGAAATGAAGTGTTCAATAGCTGAAAGTTTTTGCATGCGAAATCATCAAAATATGTTTTACAACACTTCGGGGATACATAGCCATAAAAACAAACACTTGGCTGCAATTCTCAACCCCGAAACCCTGTCCTCCTGGACCCATCTCACTGTGGACACGGGACATTTGTCATTTAAAATTCAGCTCGTTCAAAATCTTCAGACTATGTATGAAACACTTTGGCGGTACATAAACAGCCGGGTAACATTTGCTCCGACTCTTGGACCCTTGACCCTGTCCAGGTCAGTGATGAATGTGGATGTATGTATACAGTACGTCAGTTTGGGCGCCTGGTAAATTCCAGTTGGTAGATCACTAGTATTGAATGGCATAATGCTCCACCATAATTGCCAAAGTGCAAGTAAGGCTAGGTCTGGAATGCTGCCGGGGAAAGCTGCTACAAAAAGCTTATCCAATATGCACAGGCAGCCTATTGCTTGTACAAGTATGCATTTCCTAAAACCCCTGGGGGCATCTGGGACTTTTCCTAACAACACTGCAGAAAACTTGGGAGTGAGGTCGAAGGTTAGAGCTGGGATGTCTAGGTTCTTATCTCTCCGAGGTGGAGAAAATGTTGTGGTGTAAGAATGCTGGGTAAATCTTCTCTACGGGGTCACTGAGGACATTTTGTGTTATAGTGCACCTTCAGGTGAAAGGTCAGGGGGCATGTAGGTCAGCCACAATGTAAAAGTACATTGATATTTTATGTAGAAGGCATTTGAAACAGCTTGCATAGACTAAAAATATTTATGCATGCTTAAAAACAAAGTATTGATTTGATATGAAAGTTCAACTTTAAGAAAAAAATAAAAAGGGAAAACTTTTTGAAATAATAAGAATCACAATATCTGTAGTTGGTGTAAAAAAAAAATTTCACCAGTTTAAAAAAATGCTGTGTTGGCCATTCCAGATTTTAAGGGTAATGGAGTACAGCTACGGTCAATTCGGGTTAATGGAGGGAGGAACTGACATAGGTTATAAGGGAGGATTTAAAGTAACACACACTAACTCTACATCTCTCCTGCAATTTTTGAGGTCAACGTGACCGTCAGATTTCTAGTGTGTTATAAACAATCCACATGTGGTTCAAGTTAACCCAACCACCAGCTTGAAAAAAACATCTTGAGACGTGTTACAGGTTACTGGGATCATTAATCAAGTCCAAACGACCAGCATCTGTTAGCTCCTCAGAACAGGGACGGAACACTCGTGTGCTCCTCAGAATAGGGACGGAACACTCGTGTGGTGTAAGTGAGAATACATTTTGGTTTAACTCATTCACCCCTACATTTTCAACTGGACTTGCCCAGACTTGGATTTGGTAAGGTTCAAATGCGACTTAAGGGGTGAATGGGTTGGGGATCATTATATGGGTCAGTAGCAGTGATGTTTGTGAGTGACACTAAGTGTATTATAATATTGTGTGTGGTCTTGTTGGTATACTGTTTTGTAAATGTAGAAGGGTTTACTACTAGCTTATCCCCCCCTAGTTTCGGAGCTTAGAATCAGACGAACAAGTGATCAAAATTATTTTTGAGTTAATAT